ATGTTGAAATCCATATATAAAGTTAAATCCATATATGCATCTTAGAAATCCATATATAAAGTTAACATTGCAGAGAAGCTTAAATGTGTCATTTGTACACGATGGTTGGACCTTGATATGCTCCATTTTTTTTTTTTTTTTTTTTTGAGACAGAGTTTCTCTTTTGTTGCCCCGGCTGGAGTGCAATGGCATGATCTCCACTCACCGCAACCTCTGCCTCCCGGGTTGAAGCAATTCTCCTGCCTCATTCTCCTGAGTAGCTGGGATTATAGGCATGCTCCACTAAGCCCAGCTAATTTTGTATTTTTAGTAGAGACAGGCTTTCTCCATGTTGGTCAGGCTGGTCTTGAATTCATGACCTCAGGTGATCCACCTGCCTCAGCCTCCCAAAGTGCTGGGATTATAGGTGTGAGCCACCACACCCAGGCCACTGGATGTTTTTAAAAAGGCTCTACTATAACCAAAGTTAGATCCAAATCCAAAAACAGATACAGAACATTTCTTTTTTATTTTTTTGAGACGGAGTCTCCCTCTGTTGCACAGGCTGGAGTGCAGTAGTGCCATCTCAGCTCACTGCATCCTCTGCCTCCTGGGTTCAAGTGCTTCTTCTGCCTGAGCCTCCTGTGTAGCTTGAATTATAGGCATGTGCCACCATGCATAGCTAATTTTTGTATTTTTACCAGAGATGGGGTTTCACCATGTTGGCCATGGTCTCCAACTCCTGATCTCAAGTGACCCACCCGCCTTGGCCTTTCAAGGTACTAGAATTACAGGCTTGAGCCACCACACCTGGCCATATAGGTAAAATGTCTATGTATTAAGAGAAAAGGCTGGGCGGGGTGGCTCATGCCTGAATTCTTGTACTTCAGGAGGCCAAGGGGGGGTGGATCGCTTGAGGCCAGGAGTTCAATACCAACCTGGGCAATATGGCAAAACCCCATCTGTACTAAAAACACAAAGAAAAAAAATTAGCTGGGCATGTAGTCCCAGCTGCTCGGGAGGCTGTGGCACAAGAATTGCTGGAACCCAGGTGGTACAGGTTGCAGTGAGTGAGCTGAGATCTCGCCAGTGTACTTCAGACTGAGTGACAGAGTGAGGCTCTGTCTCAAAAAGAAAAGAAAAAAGAAAAATTGCATTCTACATGGTACTGACGTTCATAATTCTGTAATTGAGAGAAGTAGGTATACAAGACAAAAAATTACAGTAATCGGGAGAAATGAAAAAAGCGGAAAATTTGTTTGCCTCAAAATTCCCAACCCTGGGCATATTTCATAAAGCTTCCACAAAAAAATGGTTTACAAAGCTGAAAATTAATGTGACTGAATCCTAGATTATAAAAATTAGGCAAATCCCATTCTTTGGAATTATCTATTATGTGCTTTTTCATTCTGATTCTGGGACAGTCTGGAGCTGGTAGTGTCTCGCTTAAGCGCCCCTAGTTTGCCAATCCAGGTGCCTGGTACCTTCCCAGAACTGCCATTTTCATGTAACCCTGATATTTAATCCTTTCCCAATGCTCTTCCTGGTTAACCTGAAAAATAGCTCCAGGATAGTGGAAAGTAGTCTTCTTTTTCATCCAGAGATCAAGTGCATTTTAAGCATGGTCAACTTCTAAAGGAATGAATCATCCTAATCAGGAAAATCTCAGGCACCAGAACAAGTAGCTATATTTTGCTCAGAAATGGTTTTAAGGATACTGAATGAGGTGGTATGTACCCATAATCCCAGCTACTGGGGAGCCTGAGGCAGGAGGACTGCTTGAGCCCCGGTGTTTGAGACCAGCCTGGACAACATAGTGAGGCCCTGTATCAAAAAGAAAAAAAAAAAAAGAAAATGCCTTCAGGTGCCCCTTTATATTGATGTGAGTCTTGGTCCCATAAGACAGGCTCCACAGAGTCTGGCTCTTTTCCTAAGCACTCCAAGAAAGCTAAACACAGGTTACTCTGCCAGGCCTACCAAAGTGTGTCCTCAATCTTCCCTACCCCATCGCTCCCTGCTAAGTCAGCCCACCCCACCATCTCACACTGGGAAGATTCTGTTTAAGTTTTCTCAAATCTTTAGAAACAATGCTGGCCTCTCTGCTGGGGGAAGGAGTAGAGAATGCTGGTATCTGGGAACTGATAGTTCTGTTTGTTCAGAGGAATAGCTCAGTGGACTACCATTCTTGATAACGGTACAGTTGACCCTTGAATAACATGGATTTGAACTGGACAGCTCCACTTATATGTGGATTTCTGCCACCCCTGGAGGAGCAAGACCAACCCTTCTTCTTTCTCCTCTTTCTCAGCTCCTCAAAGTGGAAGATGAGGAGAATAAAGACCTTTATGATCATCCACTTCCAGTTAGTCAACAGTAAATGTATTTTCTCTTCCTCATAAGTTTCTTAATATTTTTTCTCTAACTTACTTTATTGTAAGAATACAGTATATAATATGTGCAATATACTGTATATACTGTATATAATACATGTGTTATGTGAAATACGTTTTAATCAACTGTTTCTGTTATCAGTAACATTTCTGGTCAGTAGTAAGCTATTAGTAGTTAAAGGTTTAGGGAGTCAAAAGTTACAGGCAGATTTTTGACTGTGCAGGAATAAGTGCCTCTAACTCTGTGTTGTTCAAGGGTAAACTGAAATTCATACAAATTTTAATGAAAAGTTTGTTACTTTTTGTATGTTTCTGGACATAGACTCCCTCTTGTGGTTCATAGGATATATGATATATAAGATATAGGAGATTTTATCTGCATTTTTGCCATTGCAAAGATTACTTGGGTGCTGGTAGAAAGATTATTATAGCTGAATGCACTGATAATTTTTTTTTTTTTTTTTGAGACGGGGTTTCGCTCTTTTAACGCAGGCTGGAGTGCAATGGCGCGATCTCGGCTCACCGCAACCTCCGCCTCCTGGGTTCAGGCAATTCTCCTGCCTCAGCCTCCTGAGTAGCTGGGATTACAGGCACGTGCCACCATGCCCAGCTAATTTTTCGTAGTTTTTAGTAGAGACGGGGTTTCACCATGTTGACCAGGATGGTCTCAATCTCTTGACCTCATGATCCACCCGCCTCGGCCTCCCAAAGTGCTGGGATTACAGGCTTGAGCCACCGCGCCCGGCCCACACTGATAATTTTTAAACAGACATTGTAAAGACCTAAGCTAACTTATTTAAGAATTATACTTCTATGAAGACCCAGTAGGCAAGAAATTATAGCATTTGAATAAAGAAAAATCTGATTAACCAGCATTTTAAGAGTAATAACTGGCTAGGCACGGTGGCTCATGCGTTTAATCCTAGCACTTTGGGAGGCTGAGGTGGGCAGATCACTTGAGGCCAGGAGTTCGAGACCAGCATGGCCAACAGGGTGAAACCCCATGTGTACTAAAAATGCAAAAAATTAGCTGGGCATGGTGGTGTGCGCCTGTAATCTCAGCTATTTGGGAGGCTGAGATGGTAGAATCATTGGAACTCAGGAGGCAGAGGTTGCAGTGAGCCAAGACTGCGCCGCTGCACTCCAGCCAGAGAGCAACTCTGTCTCAAAAGAAAAAAAAAGTAATAATATTTATTGAGTTATTTAATGTTCCAGGTACTATTATAAACACTTTATATAAACAATTATGAAACCTTTTTTTTTTTTTTTTTGGGACAGAGTCTCATTCTGTCACCCAGGTGGAGTGCAGTGGTGTGAGCTTGGCCCACTGCTACCTCTGCCTCCAGGGTTCCAGCAATTCTCCTGCCTCAGCCTCCTGAGTAGCTGGGATTACAGATGTGTGCCACCATGCTTGGCGATTTTTTCTGTATTTTTAGTAGAGACAGGGTTTCACCATATTGGCCAGGTTGGTCTCAAACTTCTGACCTCAAGCCATCCTCCCGCCTCAGCCTTTCAAAGTGCTGGGATTACAGGCACGAGCCACCGCATCCAGCCTTGTGTAACTTTTTATTATGGAGAATTTCACACTTAAGAAATAAAGAGCCGGGCGCGGTGGCTCAAGCCTGTAATCCCAGCACTGTGGGAGGCCGAGGCGGGTGGATCACGAGGTCAAGAGATCGAGACCATCCTGGTCAACATGGTGAAACCCCTTCTCTACTAAAAATACAAAAAATTAGCTGGGCATGGTGGTGCGTGCCTGTAATCCCAGCTACTCAGGAGGCTGAGGCAGGAGAATTGCCTGAACCCAGGAGGCGGAGGTTGCGGTGAGCCGAGATCGCGCCATTGCACTCCAGCCTGGGTAACGAGCGAGACTCCCCCTCTCAAAAAAAAAAAAAAAAAAAGAAATAAAGAAAAAAGCAGAAAGAGTCTCCATATGTGCATCATCCACTTTTAACTATTTATCAACATTTAACATTTTGGTATACCTATTTATCTATCACTATTATTTGCCGCAGCCATTCTTTTTCCGGAGTATTTAAAGCAAATATCAGATATCTTATAATTCACCTATATAACATTCAAAGCTTTTAATATATATTAGTTATTTTCATCCTCAACAAAAAGTAGATATTGTTGTCATTCCCATTTTATGTATGTATAAACTAAGGCAAACGGTATTAAGTGATCCATGGGGCTCACGACTTATACCCTGGAGTCTGACTGCAGAGCTTTATAAGTATGTCATTTCTGAGATTAGGCTGTGGCTTTTGTCTGGGGTGTCCACTCTCTCTTTCCTGGACCACTAGTTCTTGAGGAAGCCAGCTTACATGTCCAGCAGTCCCATGCAGAGGTCTGCATGGTGAGGAATGGGGCCTCTAGCCAACAGCCAGTTAGGAACTGAGGGCTAACAACAACCACATGAGAGAGCTTGGGAACAGAGTCTCCACCCCTTATGGAGCTTATATTTCAGTGGGCAACACAGACAGTGTACAAGTAAACAAACAACCAACCAAACGAATACACACACACACACACACACACACACACACACACACACATACACACACATATATATTTATATATATAAAATGTAGTTTCAGGTAGTGATTAGGTCATATAAAGAGAAACGAGGGCCGGGCGCGGTGGCTCAAGCCTGTAATCCCAGCACTTTGGGAGGCTGAGGCGGGTGGATCACGAGGTCAAGAGATCGAGACCATCCTGGTCAACACGGTGAAACCCCGTCTCTACTAAAAATACAAAAAAATTAGCTGGGCATGGTGGCGCGTGCCTGTAGTCCCAGCTACTCAGGAGGCTGAGGCAGGAGAATTACCTGAACCCAGGAGGCAGAGGTTGCGGTGAGCCGAGATCGCGCCATTGCACTCCAGCCTGGGTAACATGAGCGAAACTCCATCTCAAAAAAAA